AGCCGCTCTGATCATGTCAGAAGTGTCGGCCCGATCGCGTGCAACATCCGACCTCTGTGGTGCCTGGCACCGGCTGCGGGAGTGCCGGAGCGCGCTCCGGGGGAGCAGTTCCGCCGAAAGGTCACGTCCGAACATCGCCGCACGAGGCGATGACGCGAGCCTCGAGAGGCGGTCTGCATCGCTACCGCGACCTTCGTGCATGACCCAGTTCCTTGCTCGCGGGGTGTTAGAGAGGCTACCAGACGTCGCTGGCTGTCGGCTGTCGGATACCACGCATCGGCTGATGTCCTCAGCTTGCGAACCACAACCCAGCGCTTAACTGGTCCGGCTCTGAGGACATCAGGGCGCCCTGATTAGGATCAGGAGCCGCCGCCGACTCCGGGGAGAGCGGACGGCGTCCGTGATCCAGCAGCACGTGGTCCGTCCGGCGCTGGTCACTGGCGGCCGCTGGCCACGGCTCGCGGAGCCGACTCCGCCCGCCGCGCTCCGGCGCTAGAGGTGACGGCTGCCCCCCCCCCCCCCCCCCCGGTCGTCCCCAGCCATCTCGTCCAACACGCAAGCATGCACGCACGCGCGGTCAAGGTCCAAGGCACACGCCCATTGTCCGTGCATTTTCATGCAGGACTATTACGGGGCCTATGAGGTGTGTGTTCCGCTCGACCGAGAGATGGACGTACTGCAGAGCGTGAGATTATAAAATGAGGTGTGTATTTTGTCTCAGTTTTATTATCCGAATTAGCCAGATGTTCACGCCAGGACGATGACAAGAGAGCGAAAGAGCAGAGAACGGGGCGAGAGGGCGGCAGGGAAAGCAGGCGTGAGGTGCGAGGGGTACGGGGACGAGAGGTGCAGGGGCGAGGGGTACAGGGGTGCGGGGTACAGGATGCGGGGCACAGGAGCGCGGGGTAGGGGGAGAGGGGTAGGGGAGAGGGGTAGGGGAGAGGGGTAGGGAGAGGGGTAGGGGAGAGGGGTAGGGAGAGGGGTAGGGGAGAGGGGTAGGGGAGAGGGGTAGGGAGAGGGTAGGTAGAGAGGGAGGGGTAGAGGATGGAGGGGCATAGAGGTGAGGGTACAAGGGCGAGTGGTGTATAGAAGCGAGAGGATACAGGAGCGGGGGTGCAGGGGCGACAGGGGCGAGGGGTAAACGAGCGAGGGGCGAAGTGAGGTACACACAGAGATAGAAAGTACTTCCGGAGCATTGACCGAAGCTGCTTGAACGTGACGCGGCTGTAGCGACAGGGAGCGTCGAGGCCGTTGTCCCATACATCGGCGTGTCCAGAGCAGATGTCCAGCCTGGCTGCGAGACGCGCAGCGTCCATTTGACGACGTGAAAGGGCCTTCGCTGGATTCTCTCACGCATTATGATTTACGGAGTGGAACGACACGTCTGGGCCTCACGCCACGGGCTACGGTAGAGCTTCGACGCGCCCGCAGCTCAGGCCGTCAGCACAAGCCAGCCTTGAGACGTCCGCCGGTCCAAAGACGGCCCGCTCGCTTCTGCCTGCCCGCCTGCTCATGCCAGTCACGAGGCCTGCTCTCCGTCTAATCTCCGCATCTGCCGGCCTGCCTCCCCAGGTGGGCCTTCGGCCAAGGATGGCTGACTGGTTGGGGCTGCGCACGCCACCTGCTGTCGAGGGTTATGCTGAGCAGGCGGCGGTGGACGCGGGCGGCGCCGGTCCGTCGCAGTGGTCCCTCGTCTGCTGGTCCACTGGTCCCCTGGTCTGCTGGTCTCCTGACCTGCTGGTTGCACAGTCTGGTGGTCCCCTGGTCTGCTGACCCTTCGTTCTGCTGGTCTTCCGGTCTGCCATGCCCCTGGTCTTGCCCGGTGCCCGGGTCTGTTAGTGGTCCTTGGGTCTGTCAGCCGTGTCTCGGCCGGTCCGCTGGCACCGTCGGTGTCTGCCGACGGCGCGAGCGGCCGCGACCAGAGCGGCCGGCCGAGTCAGTCATACTGAGCCAGCTCCGGCCGGTCCAGCGGCCAGCCCGGAGCCCAGTGCGACAGCCACGCCACGGACCGCCGGTGTGGCTGCCGGGAACGAATGGTAGAAACGGTCCCAACCCGTGACAGGGAGAAGCGTATAGAGCACGGAATACAGACAACCTGCAAGTATAGACAAAGGATCTTTCGACACAGGACAGGGAATCTTCCCATCGGTGTGCGTACGCTGCTTTCCTTTCGTGTTCAAAGTATTGTATGCTTGAACGTCATAATCTTCCAGGTTTAGGAGTAAAAACCACGAGTCGCCAAGATAGCGAGACATCTTCGTTCGCACCTAAACTTACTATCACTTCCAATTATTGCAGGATACCTGGAGATCAGTGTCACATGAAGAGCGTGCGAACAAAAAAAGCGGGGTTCGCAGTAGATCAGCCTGCCCCCCACGGCGCGCCGGTCTGGCGAGCTGCGTCCGCTGCCTGTGCAGACGGCGGCGACTGCGGCCTGCCGGCCTGCCGGGCTGCAGCGGCGGCGCCGTGCCGGCATGATGGGGTGAACGGCCGGCCCCGGCGGCGGGCTGCGGCGGCCGCCCGGCGCAGCGGGCGACGGCCGACCGCGCCGCGGCCGCCGCCGCAGCCCGCCGCCTAAGACCACTGGCCTGGCGTCCCGCTGGCCAGACGTACCGCCGCTGACGTACCGCCGCCGCCGCCTCGGCCGCCCCGGCTGCCGTCTGAGGCACGCGTATGTGGGCGAGTCACCGATGCTGATACTCCTCCCAGTTTGTCCGTGGCGCGGCGGCCTCGGCAAAAGGCCGCGGGAAAGTCTGGTACTCTTTTCCATGTGAGCAGATTCGTTAACTTTTGATGGATGAAGACCCAACAAAAACCGGGCTCTTATTATGTAACAGAACATCTTAGATGTGTTCGGCCTACCGAACACCTAAAATATGCAAGCATCTGTCTTGCATGCGCCGCAGCGACATGAATTCCCTGGCCGAAGCAGAAATGATCCGCACAGACTCGTTGCAAGATCCAGTTTTTGCATGATGGCAACGTCCCAACCTTCCCGGCCGCCAACGACCTTGCTAAACTTCCTTTCCGCGCACGCGTGTAGAAGAGTTTCTGTTTTCACTACCTAGCAAGCAAAGACCTCGGCGATGTTTCCTCCATTCCTGAGAGGCGCTCGTATACCTAGTCTCTCCGCTCCAGTCCTCTCGACCTCAAACCTACAGGTGGCCGATGGCCTGGGACGACCTTCTGCTACATCAACCTCTGGCATTAGCGAGAGGGCCTCCTCTGCCGAACGCTGTCGGCGCGGGGCGGCTCCTGTGCTGCCGATCGCTGGCAGTGAGCCGATTGGGCCGGGTTCGGGCCAGCTGACGTGAGCGGGATTCTGTGACACCCCGCTTCACCCCGCCTCCCAGCTGACCCCGGCGGCCAGAGGCTATGAAGGTCACCACGGACGGGCAGCACGACACCACGCCCCCGTCATGACGCGCAGGTGTCGGTGAGCGTCGCCCTCACAGCGCGCGGCGCACCACACACCCGCTGCGCTCGCTCGCAGCGATCCCGCGCCGCCCACACAGGGCCGACCTGGCCTCTCCATAGGGCGCCAGGCCCGGCCCTGAGGCGGGGCGAGTGAGGGCGTTCCCCAGCCGTCTGTTTTCCGCGCGGGTGTGGTCCTGCGCGGGGGGCGCCGCGCTGACAGCGGGTGCGGGCCGCAGCGCTCACGCAAATCAGCCAACCCGAGCGACGCCCGGGAAAGCCTGCAAGCGCCAAACCTGGCTTCCCAGCTGCAGTCGACGCAAGCGGGCGGAAATGGGTCTCGGTCGAACAGCACAGGCTTGAACCTGCAGGAATGGCGGGTGTCGGGGCGGCAGGACCGGAAGACTATCGGATTCGACGCGATGCGCTACAGGCATCTCGCCTCGGCAAGGGCTTTTCTTTTGTCACGTTAGAGACTTTTTACAAAAGATCTACTACCTCGAAAGCGCAAATACAGCGTGTTGATCTTTTGGTAGCGATCTCCACGTTGTGAGTGGCGATCGCACGTTCTCTGCAATTTTTACCTCTGGCGCGTTATCCGCATCTGCGCTTGCATCGAGCCAAGCAAGGTCAACATCAGAAATACAACACGGTGTAATTCGAGACCAGTCATCCAAACGGCGCGAGTCCGAGCCATGCGCATGCAAGGCAGGGGTTAGAAGTCCACTGTGTGTACCAGCACCAGCTGCATCACTCCACCTCCGACGATGTGGGCCGTGCTAGTGTGTCGATTTACGGAAATGCGTCTTTATCAGAAGCAATGGACTGGAAACCTCAGCAGAAAGCCCGTGATGTACTGCAAACAAATCATTCACACGCTATTTCTTCCGCGACCGCGCCGCCGATCAAAGAGACTGCAAGGTCCATATTCGAGGATGGATACCAATATCGGGTGAATTGGATGAAAGACGAAACGACGACGATTGCCATTTACGTTCGCAGATGCAAACAGCCCTGGGTCCTCCTCACGCGCGCAATAGAGACCGGATCATTCAGAGGGCTCGCAGCGGGGAGGCGGCACTCCACACAGTCACTGATGGAATAGCTTTCTGAGGCACTAGTGGATCCGCGCCCTGTTACGGGGAGTTTATCAGCAGTCACCTGACACGCACGATGGTTCGTGTGGAAGATGGACAGTTTACCGCTCCGAAACATGTCACATGAGCAGTGACACACTCTGAAGTACCTGCTGGAGGCTCCACACGGTGGAACGGAACCCGCGCTCTCCGTATCGCGGCATATTTCGAGGTTACGGGATATTGAGAGCAATGCCGTCGAACGCCATTACAGATGTCAAGGCGACGTGCATTCGAAAGGTTTAGGATCCACGCTCACTTAGGTTAAGTAAGGCTTATCCAAAGTTGTAAGCATCTGAACGTGCAAACAAACCCACCCATCCATCGCCCTCGTGCCCATTTCGAGTGATTTCATCAGGTAAACAAGGCGGTGTTTGTTCCCGATTTCTCATTTCGACGCTCGCTAAGCCACGTGCGTGAACAGAGAGACACAAACGAACAGCGGCATACCTCGGACTGGAGACGGGTCTGAGTGTCTGTAGGAAGAACGGCGGCCGCCCAGCTATCCTCTCCCCTGGACCACCACGGCACCCGCTCGCGCGAGACTGACTCGGTTTGTCCGCGGCCGCCACCGCCGGCGGCTGTTTGGACGGCGCTTGCGGCCCCGGCCGCCAGGTGGCAGCAGCGGCGGCGCAGGCCCGCGCGCCTCGGGCGGGCCGGTGGCCTACCTCGCGAGGCGCCCACGCGGCCGGTGCCCCGGCTTTTCCGCCACGGCGTGCTGGGAGCCCTGAACGGGCCGTGGCCGAGAACACACGGCTCGTGCTGAACAGGGAAATGGATGCATGAATTGGGCATTTTGCAGAGTTATTGTGTCTACATCGGGAGTTCAGCTGAGCCCAAGGGCATCTGGGTTCCTACGTGTTCCTCATATCTTGGCATAAACCGTCAGCTTATCTGCAAACAAAATACTGTAAAGGAGCTCGAATCAATCACATTGATTAATCTTATTGACCTCTCAGCTTGTGTTGACGTCTGCCTTCAACTATTTTTCTTTCCGACAGATTTTCTTCGGATATCTTGACTCCTTACGATGTCATGAGCGACAACTCGCTTGGACGCGAAAGTAAACTCCATTCGTTACCTCTACTGCCCCCCCGCCCCCTCCCCTCCCACCCACTGGAGGAACGAATGCTCGAGCTGCGACGCATTCAAGCGAATTTGCGCTTTTCCCGCAGAGGAAAATCCGTAGCCAACTTTATATCCTTCATCCAAGATCACGCCAGGAACAAATGGATGTGACACGGGCGTCCGTTTGCGCGGCTGCGAAACTCCAGGGGATTTTTACGATCATGAAGCCCAACTGAAATAATGAGTTATTTACGGCAAGACTATCGGATAACATCCAAACCTTCGCAGCAATCAGTACTATGATGGAGTGAATAACGGGAGCCGGGACTGTGCAGCGGGACTATAAATGGTTCTTTTCATGTCTCTGCAGACTAAATTGTTGTTCGGCGCATGCGTTACAGGCAATAGCATGGCCAATTATTTCGATAACAATTTTAACACTCCATTCAACCACGCCAGCTCACGTGGAAATGGCATCATGTGTTGGAGTATAGAACGTCATGGAATAAAGGTTATGGCTGGTGCGGGAACATCACCAGAAAAGCTGCTTTGATGACGTGGCTGGAAGGCTAACCCATTAATGGCATTCCAACTGCAACTCTTGTCTTCCAATTCGTTGATGTAATAAAAGGTGTGGTGTTGTATGGCGTGTTGTGGAGTATAACGATATGTTTGCGTGCGTCGTGTAGCCTGGTAAACTGATAAACTGGCCGTCCGTTTAAGATCGCGCACAAGAACCCCTGAACAAGACTGCAGAATTGGACGGCCTGATTGAAACTGAAACTGAAACAACGGCGCTCGGTATGTTCAGTTCGGGGCCATGGCTTGTTCTGCAGCTCGCGATGTTGTTGCTCACGTCCGTGCTGACTGCTTATGGTATCAGCGGAACAACGGAGAGAGGACTGAGCAACGTTACAGCGATCGTGTGCGTCATCCGAGTGCGTTCCGAATTGTAGGCGAATGTGCTCGAAAACGGCAAATATGCGGAAGCCCTGTTTCGCTTATGTTCGGCATAACTGGAGTTGTTTTCTTAAATCTTAACACACGTGCATATGTCGTGCTGCACAACGTGCGCACGTTCTCAAAATTTAAGAGACCCGAACGCATTGTGCCTAAACGTCGACAGCCGGTAGCTTACACGTAACAGTTTTCCATGCGCCAGCATGGGGTTGATATCAAGCTTCCTCGAGAACTGGAGGAGCGCGCCCCATGCAGCCCATTCGGCCGCCACGCCAGCACGAGAGGCTGAGCCAGCACTGCGTAACATGTGCCATAGTACAGGACGCTCATTACATCACCGGTCGGCATCCACCCATGGAACAAGGTACAAATGTCCAACCTCAAGGACGGTAAAGGGACGGTGCCTATGCGGCATCAGCTGATCTGATGGTGGGTCAAGGGGTGTCTTAGCGATACATGCATTAAGACGTCAACAGCGAGCACAGTTCTACCTGCAGTATGAACATCACAAAAAAACGCAGACCTGGGTGATCACGGTGGAAAATCGTCAATGTCTTATGGGAAGTTCACGTCCTATATCCTGCACGACGTAATTCTGAAATATCGGCATTATTCTTGCGCTGACTCAACTATTAGGTAATTGCGTGGGAAACTACATTCGTATGTCCAAAGCGGTTCTTGATCCGGAAAAGATAGCCTCCGTTGCGTGTTATTTTGAAATGAGTTTGTTCCAAGCGTACCATAGTTGTTTGTTCCGGGCCGGCATGCATTAAAAGCTGCCAGGTTTCCTCCCCAATGGTCAGGCGCCGCACGCATGCAGCGCCTGGTAAAATGTGCTCCGCAACATGCGATAATGTCTTGCAACCCAGTTCTCGAGACTAAACCCCGACCTTGACGGATACTTATAGTGTGTACATCAAGATGAGAGCAAGGAGAAACAACTAATACGGTGCTTCTTTCATGAAGAAAGTCGCCGAAAGATTCTTCGGCGAAACCATGAGTATGTCGTCATATGTGTGTGTGAAATAGAACGTTTTGTACCCGCTGCACCTCTTTTGATTGAAGGTCATTGGACTGGCTTGAACTGTTCCGTAGAGCAAGTGAAAGGGGCAGGAAATTTTACAAATAAGCGGATTCGTCAATATATGCTTCATTGTGACATCCATGGATCAATTCACACCCTTCCGCATGGTGCTTGAAGAAAAATTACAAACGGAAATGCTGGTATAAAAGCGCATAATGATACCGCTTACGATGTGATGGCGATAATGTACGATGGAGCCATGCACGATGTCATAAAACACGATGTAATAATGCGCGATGCACCTTACAATGCGCGCCACTCCATATCAGTTCAGGCCGCGTGATCCTTGCCCCGAGGGCAGACTGTCGCGCCCAGTGCGGCTGAGGGTCTGTGAACGACTGACGCTCCCACGAGTGTGAGTTTCTTGTGGATTTACGGCACGGAAACACACCGCTCCGTTCCACCCTCCGAATCCCAAACATTACACGGCTGTTGAAGACTCCCATCTGGTGGCTGGATTTCGTACTAGTGGTTAGTCATTCCGCCACAGCCAGGCCGGTTCCATGATGGAATCAACCGCAGCATCGCACCGACATCGCCAATGCACCTTCACGTTGCGATGCTGTTGCGCAGCGCGTTGTGCCACACTGCGTGGGACCAGCCATATTGCGAAGGTGCAGGGGTGAGTGGGGCCGGCCACGAGGTGAGATCGGCGCAGCATGCCGGAGCGTATGCCTTTGATGGGTCTTGCTTCAGAAGCTCATGTGGAGCGTTGCGAACAGCGCTATGTGCAGTTGGGATCTCACTCTATACCCTCCATAGAGAGAGGAAGAACGCCTCTAGACCCGCCCTCTTTTATACCGTTCGGAGGCCTTAGCAGCTAAACGAATGTCCATGGAGCGAAAACGTGGATCGATTAGCAGAACACGTTGCAGGAGTTGGAGAACAACCGGTCCATTCGGGTCGTAATCGCTCTGTCCAAATTGAGAACACGGTGGATATTAATAACGGCTTTGAGCTCTCGCTTAAATGACCTTTAAACACCTGCAGCGAGAGAACATGACGAAGGAGAAAACCCTGAACGGCGGGCAGCTCGCTGAATTACCGTGCTGTTGAACCAAACGCAGCTCGCACCGAGCCACTTCAGACATTCCAGCGGTCACATGATGTGCTGTCTTCACACCGTAAGCAATGAGTCCAATCAGCGTCCACGGAATATTGCTCCTCAGGAGTCTGAAGTAATGGCGTACGCAGCGGAGGAGCCGATGTTTGTGCGCAGCAGCGTGTCGAATTACTTCAGCGGAAGGTGCCGTGAGAACCGAAATACCGCGCACGAGTGTATTCCGAGACCGACGCCGTAGACCTAGCACTCACGCAGCGAGTGAGTTGTGATGCACATCATGGATAGTAAAATGAAACCAATAGGTAGACTTAGCCCGAAATAAGATTAACGTTCTTTAAAGAATATGCGACTTTTTGTCGCTGTTAACAAGCGTTTTGACGGACTGAAGAACCCGCCAAATAACGACTAAAGCTTTCGCGACGCCCACCGTCGTTTCGACGCGAGAGCGCCTTACGTGATCGGTATACGAGGCATGATAGTCACACACACATTACTTCCAATACCTAAAAAAAAATATTCAGAGTGCACAACTTTTGATCTCAAATCCATAAAAAGTGCTAGTCGAGAATGGACACTCTTGCCACTGCCAACCAAGTGAAGCATTGTGATACGTATCCAATACTGGAGTTTTCTTCCTGCGTGGACCGTCCAAACGTTACCAGGGACAGCAAGACGTCTCCGGTGTCGGCCCTCACCATCCGCAGGCTACGGGAGCTCCCGCGGCCAGACCAGCCCCCAGCTCAGCGTCCAGCGCCGGACCAGCCCCCAGCAGCACGTCCAGAGCCGGACCAGCCGCCAGCACAGTGTCCAGCGTCGGACCAGCCCTCAGCACAGTGTCCAGCGTCGGACCAGCCGCCAGCAGCACGTCCAGCGTCGGACCAGCCCCCAGCAGCACGTCCAGAGCCGGACCAGCCGCCAGCACAGTGTCCAGCGTCGGACCAGCCCCCAGCAGCGCGTCCAGCGCTCCCCAGTCGGTGGCGGCTGGCGGGCAGGTGCAGCGCCGCGCGCTCGCGCCCGGCCGGCGCCCCCTGCCGGTCCGGCGTCATCAGCGGCGCCAGCTGGCGGCGCCATCCGCGGCGTCACGGGCGGCCCGGCCGGTGTCAGCTCGTGCCCAGCTGACTGACCGGCTGACGGCCAGTCAATGACTCGCTGAAGTCCCGTGCTCTCGGACGCCGCGCGCATTCCGGCGAAAGTTTTTGTCGCCGCCAGAGGCCGTGTTAATCTGCGCGCTGGCCAGCGCAGCGGGCGGTGGGGAAGGACACAGTTGGAAGAGGGACTGAGGGACAGGTGGTCAATAG